TTTTTTTTGTTTTTCAAATAAAATTGATACTGTGAAGAAACAATAACCCTACAAAAAAAGTTTTCTGTACGGCTTTATCAAACACAATGATCTATTATTGTCCGATGTTTTATCCTTATCAGCAAGAATTGTTGCAGCAATCAAATCAAAACAAAAAATCAATCATTGCAAAAACGTTGCAAAACAAAAGTGGAGCTCTAATCAGTTTGACAATTTATAGTTGGTTTTTCAATTTTTCCCTTAAAAACGTTAACTTCAGCCAGTTGAAAGCAAAACTGCGCAAAACCTGGTGCTAATAGAGCGCTGATCAGAGCTGCAACTGTAAAACAAAATTCAAAAAACTAGTATTTGAAAATATGTTTAGAAAACTTGTCCACTGACGCTTTCATAAATTTACTTTTCTTTTTATCTCTATTAATACCAATAAGAACTCTGTCCCGTTTTAGAAGAAACATCGTAGAAATCTTATCGATTGTCGTCTCGTAGTATCACCGTTGAACATTGACTAAATTTTCCCACCAAAACCAAACAGAAAAAAGTTAAACCTGTCAATATTTCAAATCAGTCAGCAAACTGTCAAAATTTTTCAAACAAAAGCTACAGATTATTTTACGGCGATCATTGGTAATAATTATCACAATCAGTGACCAGAAGCAATCAAACTTTGACCAGTTCGATACTTCTAAACGTTGATCACTCATCAAAAATGGTCGTCAAATGTGATAGCTTTAGAACCAAAAACACTGTTCAACCGATACTGCAAATCTTTTTCGTCTCTTTTTTTTTTTGTTTTTTTTTTCATTTCTTAGAAAAAATACTCATCGAAGTTTTTGCAACGATTTTTGAAGAGCAAAGATGCACAAGAAACGTGGAATTTGAATATAAATTTTATTTTCAAAATATGAGGTAAACAAATCAAAGAAAAAAAAGCACATGAAAGAGTCATAAATTTTCATTCTTCAAAATAATGGTAATAATAATAATTATAATAGTAATAATTACAATAACAAAAATAAGAAAAAACATTGATGCCTCATCATTTGATACAAACATAAATGAACCTTAGGCTGAAACAACTTCTTTGCTATCATTTTACTTTCTTCTTTTCTTTTTTTTAATGTGCCTAAAAAGAATCGTTTCCTTCTCTTTTGTTCATTGAATCCATTCTTTTAATGGCCTTCCAGACGTAAGTAATGCTTAGTAACCGAAACCCAATGTGCAGCATAAGAAAAAAAGAATAAATGAAAGAAATAAGCTGTTCCAGAAGATGAAATAAATGAATCAAAAAAAGGGTAAAACTGAATGAACAAATACCGCAGCAAACAGATATACCAATCAAAAAAATTTCCTCTTTTTTTTTTTTTATTAGGTCCTTTTCTTTTCTTTTTTTTTTTTTTAAAACTTTATGCTTTCAAATTCATTCAGTTATGTAACTAAGTTCATAAATGTTCTGAGCATAAAACAGTAACCTGAATTTGAACAGCAAATATAAAGCAACAAACGTTTATAGGTACAGAGAAAATGCATTA